GAAGAAATTTTTTCAAATTGGTAGTTAAATTTTTTAATTTTATCATCTATTTTTAGAGATTTTTAAATTCTAAATACATGTAATTTACTAGCTCAAGATTATAATATAGCTTTAACTATTTGAAAAGGTAAAAATAACGAAAATAATTCAAATGAACTCAAAGATCAGATTGAGATTTGGCAAGGTGAATTAAAAAGCCTATGCAAACTAATGTTTCGGGCGAAACCGAAACCTCCGAAAACTTCCCAAACCTCCGAAACCTAGCGAAACCTCCGAAACTTGGCGAAACTTAAAAAATCATCTGCTTGGAATTTTGAGTAACGTGTAATTAAATTTAATCAGTCTAAAAAAGTTAATTTGATATCACTTGTTTAACATGTCACAAACACCCGAAAATACCATTTCTTCACTACTAGTTATTTCTTTCGAAAATTCTTCACCAACTATAGTAACTTCTACTACTAAAAAAAAGAAACGAAGCAATGTTGGTGGTCGTCCAAAATCTTTAGTATGGGGAATACATGCTGAACAAGGAATAAAAGTTTCAGATGGTCATTATGAAGCTATTTGCAATTATTGTAATCAAAAATGGCATAAAGGGTCTCCACAAGTCATTTAGCCAATAATTGTTTAAAAGTTCCTGTTGAAACACGACAATTTTTTCTCAATCGACTTGCTGAAAAATCTGAACCTGGTACAAATCTATAATTAATTAATTAAATTAATATATAATAATTATTTGTAAAAATAATCTTTATAAAAAATAATATAATTTACAAAATATAATATAAATTATATAAAATAAAGATCTAAATTAAAAGAAAATAATCTAATTAAAATTATTATATATATTATAGTTATATTATTTTATTAATTATTAAAAATTATTAATTTATAATTAATATAAATCTTATTTATTATTATTTTATAAATTATATAAAATTCTTTTAATTAACTTTTTTAAATAATAATTTTTATAAATTATATAAAATTCTTTTAATTAACTTTTTTAAATAATAATTCTTATAATTAAATAATTATTTTATTTAATAATTATATTTATTAATAATATAATAAAAAAATATTTATTTTTTTATAAAATAAAAATATATTTAAATAATAAAATATTTTATTTTATTTAATATTTGTAAATTTTATAAATAAAATAATTTTATTTTTTTAATTTAAAAATTAATTTTAATTTTAAAATAATTAAATTAAAAATTATATTATTATTTTAAAAAGATTTTTATAATATTTTATTATTTATTTAAGTAATTATTAAAAAATTATAATATTAATAAGTTTATTTTACTTATATAATATTTATTAATATTATTATAATATAAATTATTAATAAGTTTATTTTACTTATATAATATTTATTAATATTATTATAATATAAATTTTTATCAAGAATATTTTATCTATTATTTTATTTAATTAATTTATATTATAATTTTATTAAATAATTTAAAATAAAGAAAAAAAATAAAAAAATAAAATTAAATATATAATAAAATATATAATAAATTAATAAATTTAGAAATATAATAATTTGAAAAAGTTTTTGAATTTTTAATAATAAAATATATTATATATATTTTAATATATAAAATAAAAAATCATATATTAATAAAAAATTTTAGTAATATTTTTTATAAACTTAAAATTTTAAAAATTTTTATAAATTATTATTTAAAAAATTTTTAAAAATAATTTTAATACATTATTTTATATATTATTTTTAAGTAAATTTATTTATTAAATAATAAAGAATTTTTAAAAAATTTTTGATAAATATTAATAAAATTTTTATTATAATAAAAAAAAATATAATTAAAATTATATTTTATAAAACTTTTTTATATATAAATATATGTATAATTTTTTTAAAAAATTTTTTATATTAATTTTTTTAATTTAAAAAATTAATTTAAAATAATAATATTAATATTTATTAATAAATAATTTTAAATAAACTTTTTATAAATATTAAAATATATATAATAACAATTAAAAATAATAAATTTTTTATTAATTATAATTAGTAAAATATATATTTTTCCTTATATATAAAAGTTTTTAATTTTACTAACAAATATTTTTATTATTAGCTCAAAATATAGCTAAAGTTTTATAATTTAACATACATTTTTTACTAATAACTTGTTTTAATTATATATAAAGTTAATTAATTATTAATTAATAAAAATTAATTAACTTTATATATAATTAGAACAAGTTATCAATAAAAAATCCAAAAAATTTGAAAAAAATATATATTAAACTAGAGAATTTTAGTTGATTTTTGAGCTAAAAATGAAAAATATTTATTAATAAAATTAAAAACTTTTATATATAAGGAAAAATATATATTTTACTAATTATAATTAATAAAAAATTTTAATATTATATTACTTTTAATAATTATTATATATATATTAATTTTTATATAAATTTAATTAATTATTATTATATAATTATTTTTTAAATTTATTTATATACTTTTTCAAATTATTATAATCAATTTATAATTATTAAATAAATTTTTATTAATTTTTATTATTATTATAAAAATAATAAATTAATAATAATAAATCTTTAAACTTAATATTTAATAAATTATAATTTGAAATAAATAATAAAAATATTAATATTATTATAATTTATTAATAATAAATTAAATTAATAATAAAGTATTAGTAATTAAATTATTATTATTATAATTATTAATAAAATTTATTAAATAAGTTTAATAAAATAATATTATTATTCTTAAATAAAAAAATTAATCTAATAAAATTATTTTATTAAATATATTATTTAATATATTTTTAATATTAATATTAAAATTTTGATAATAATTAATATTTAATTATTAATATTATTATTTTTAAATAAAAAAAATATTAATTTAATAAATTTTTAATATTAATATTAATTATAAAACAATAAATATATATATTATTAAAATTATTAAAATAATAATTTATATAATTTTATAATTTTATAAAAAGTTTATTTATTATTTTTTAAATTAGATATAAATAAAAAATAAATATATTTTTTTTGTTTATATAAAATTTATTTTTTAATACTTAAAATTAAAATATAAATACTTATAAATCTTATAAATTATTTTTTTAATATTTTGAAAAAATATTTTTTAGCTTAATAAAGTTTATTATTTTAAATTATATTTTTTTATTATTTCTTTTTTTAAGCTTTTTATTTAGTATATTAATTAAATAAATATAAATATATTTATAATAATTTTTTAAAATTATATATTTTTTATAATTACTTTAATTAATCTTTTTATAAAAGAAATTAATTAATAACTTATTATAATTCAAATAATTATAATTAATACTAATAAAAGAATTCAAAATTTTAAATAATATATTTATTTTATAAATTAAATAAATAATTTTTTTCAAAAATTTTTTTTTATTTAATATAAAGATAAAAAAATCTTATATATTTTACATATTTAATATATATAATATTATTATAAAGTTTTTTATATTATTTAATTTAAATAATAAAATTTATTTTTATATATTTATTTTGATTTTGATTTGATATATTATTTTATTTCTGAAGAAAATATTTATTTTTTTGATAAAAATTATTACTTTTTGATTTTTAAGAATAATAACTTAATTAATTATTATTTAATAAGATAACTTGATATTTTATTTTTTTATTTTTGAAAAAATAATTTTTTTTTTAGTAAAAATTATTAATTTTTTGATTTTTAAGAAGATAAACTTAATTAAATAATTTTATTTAATGAGATAAATTTTTATTTTAAAGAAAAAATAATATTAAAAGTGAAAAAATAAATAAAACTTAATTATATTAATAAAATTAAAAATTTTTATATTTTTAATATATATTTAAAAATTTAATAAATTAAAATTTATTATATATAATTATCACAAAAAATAATATTTAGTTTATATATACAGTGGCAATCAAAAATAATGCAACGCTTAAATTTTTTACTAATTATAATTAGTAAAAAATTTAAGC